CCAACGGGGGACCCTCTTGGGGCGCTCCAGGGCCGTCTTGGAGGCCATCTTGGGCGTCTTGGAGGCCATCTTGGGCGTGTTGGAGGCCTCTTGGGCCGTCTTGGGGCCCTCTAGGGGCCATCTTGGAGGCCACTTGGGCCATCAGGGGGCTCTCTTGGGGGCCTCTTGGGCGATCTTGGGGGCTTCTTGGGCCGTCTTGAGCCGTCGGAGAGCCGAAAAGGCGCAAATGCCAAAATCCTTCAAAAACCAAGGGAAAATCAATGATTTTGCCCTCTTCGGACTCTCCTGGAGGACCTCTTGGAGGCCTCTTGGGCCGTCTGGGAGGCCTCTGGGGGGCCTCTTGGGCCGTCTTGGGCCGTCTTGGACTCTCTTGGGCCGTCTTGGAGGCCGTCTTGGACCATCTCGGGCGCACTTGGAGGCCATCTTGGGCCATCTTCGCGATTTTTTGAGGATGTCCAGAGCGAAACGGCCGTTTTGGGGCACGGTGGCGGGACGGGCCGGAGCCCACTGGGGAGTTCTTTTGGGAAAAGAACCAAAACCAAAACCTGAAACATCCAGCACGCCGTGCACCCCTGCAAGCAGGGGGCGGCGGATCCTAGTGGCCTTCGGCCCATCCCGCCACCGTGTCTGGGTTGTGGGCCTGAGGCCTCTTGTAGATGTGTTGGGGTGTCGTGTGGAGCCGCTCGGGGGCTTCATGGAGGCTGTTTGGGCCCTTCTTGGCAGCCTCTTGGGGCCTCGCGGGGTATCTTGGAAGCCCCTTGGGCACCTTTTGGGGCCTCTTGGGGGCTTCTTGGAGGCCTCTTGGGGCCCCCAGGGGGTTTCTCAGGGAACAAATATAGAGTTTTCGGTTCGTGGTCCCCTGCTTGGGCCCTCTTGGGGCCGTCTGCGGGCCCTCTTGGGCCGTCTTGAGCGCTTCTTGGGCCATCTTGGAGCCATCTTGGGCAGTTGTTTTGCCCTCTTGGGCCTCATCGGCTGTCTTGGGCCAGTCTTGGGAGCTTCTTAAGTCGTCTTGGAGCGTCGGAAAGCCGAAAAGGCGAGAAGTCCAACATCCTTCAAGACCTTGCGTGAAATCCACGATTTGAGCATCTTGGGGCTCTCTCGGGATGCCTCTTGGAGCGCTCTTGGGGCCTCTTGGAGCTCTCTTGCGCCGTCTTGGAACCATGTTCGGGCGCCGTGGGGCACTCTTGGTTTCGGAAATGCGAAGATGGTGTAATTTGCGAAGGTTGATTGCTTCGGGGACGCGACCATTGCGTAATTCACAAGGGTGTGTTGCTTCGGGGAGGCAACACATACTTATTATTATTATTCTTATTCTTATTCTTATTATTGTTATCATTATTATTATTAGTATTAGTATTATTATCATTATTATTATTAGTATTAGTATTATTATTATTATCATCATTATTATTATTAATAATACATACATATATATATGTAATCTACCTGTTGTGGCCTCGGGGACGCGAACATTGTGTAATGTATTGGGGGTGATGGCCTCGGGGGCGCAAGCCTCGCATATTTTCTCATGTCCCACGCCACCCACCCGGAATTCAGAGCACGCGATTCGGACGTGAATTGGGCGGTTTGGGGCTCCACCCCCTCGCGCGGATCTCAACAGTTTACAACAGGAAACAGAACGCAGGACTGTAAAACTGGAGACTTTAAACTGCAGCAGCACATTTCGGCCTACATCATGGTGGCCCCACAAGGGGTCTGGCTGATGTTTCTTCCAACATCCGGCTGCAGGAGGACATGCCCGACTTAATCATGTTCCTGGGTCGTCGGGCCCCCCAAGTCCTCCTGACCCTCGCCGCTCCATCATGCCAGAGCCAGGGCACGCGTGCCTCTCGTCTGTTGGACCGCGCATATCATGGAACTCCGCACACTGAGCATCATAGGTTCAGGGGGCTCATCGTTATTTGTCGGTTGACTGCCACATTCCATTTTACGGACATGCTGCACACCGAGAGTAAACCAAGTTGCAGAAGATTTTGCTGCGGTTTCTCTGTCAGTGTCTTCTTTTGCGTCCAACTGCAACCCTCGCTTCGACCCGCCCGTCACCCAGGAGAACGGGGTTTGGGTCAGGCGCGCCGCCCTATCAGCGTACGCAACTCGCCTGACGAATCCCGTCCGATCTGTACCATCTTTCAACACCGCGGCGGAGTAACAGTCAAGCGACGGGAGTTGCCGTGGCCGGCGCCCAGAAACTTTCGGAGTGGCAATTCGGTAGCGTCAGGGACTCGGGGACTGTTTGCCATGTCTCGCAGCTCATGGCCTTCGCGACAGTGCGTGGGCAACATAACGCAAGTTTTCTGCAGACGTAAACGCGTTGACTGTCTCGGAAAATTCGTTGGGAAGGGTCGCGGTTCGGATTGTTTACGGTGTCTCCGTACTGGAGGTTGTCCCCTTGGCTGATAAGGAGGTCGGGGTGGCTCGAATTCGAGATTCGATTTGCTTGGTGGGGATCCGGTTGGGGTGTCGGCCCGAGGCCTCCGGTCCCGTGGTTGCCGCGCGCGCGCTTGGCCCAGCAAGGAGTCGGGGTTCCATCCCTCGATTTCCCCACCCGCCCAACCCCCTTTGGGCGTATGCCAGGGGCTGGGCTTCTGCGCCCGAGGCACCCACAGAGCGATGCCCGATTCATCCGAACTTCCATCCTCCGTTTTCAGCCCCCCCGGCGGGACACGAGCCCGCAATCTTCGGATTAGAAGTCCGACGCCTTGTCCAGTAGGCCAAGGGGGCCTGTCAAGCAGGGAGTCGGGGTTCCATCCCTCAATTTCGGATTCGGTCGGGTAGTTCGGCCCCCCCCTACTGCCCGGCGCGCGATGCCGACCCCGGGCGATGCTCGCCGGGAGTCGGCCCGAAGCCCTTCCTTCCGGCGCTCCCGCTCGCGGCGCCGCCGCTAGCCCGGCAGCCCCGCAGACGCTGGCCCTGATGCCCCCGCGAAGGGGCGCTCTCCTTCACCGGTAGACCTCGAGCTTCCAGAAGAGCCTCGCCGCACGGCGCCGTGCAAGAACTCCGAAGACTTGCTTCGTGCCTTTGGCCCGCAGGGCGTCCTAGAGCAGGAGCTTTTGAGGGTCGCCGGTCTCCTTGAGGATGCTGGACTCCACGAGGCGTGGCAAATCACATTTGTGAACCAGGAAATCATCCAGACGGCGTGCCGTGATCCGCTCACTCTCGAGCTAGATCACCGTGCCTTTCTGCTGGCTTCGGCCGTCGCGGAGAAGGTACAGCAGACCGCTGGCAGCGACGGCAGTGCCCCGAGCGCTGCCGCAGCAGGCGCCGACTTCTAGGCGGAGTCCGTCGCCGCACTCCGGGCCATCGCCCGCAGGGCGAGGGCCGGCGCCGCCAGGCAGCACGGGGACCGCTCGGTGAATGCGCGCAAGGGGTTGAAGCGCTACGGGCTCAACGGCTAGCCGGTTGATCATCTGCCGCAGTCGGCTCCCTTTCAGCGGCTGCTCCAGCGGAGCCGCCGCAAGGCCAGGCACGGGCGGCCCCCGTGGTCACCGGCGAGCTGCAGAAAGATTTCCGAGCCGCTGAAGAGGACGTCGGACGCCATTCTGCGCCCGCCGCAGAAGGGCCAGCCGTTCCAGTCGTTCGCCCACTTCACCAGCTGCTGGTGGGCCAGGGCGCTGTCCCAGCTCTCGCCCCAGGCAGACCTCAACAGCGAGAGGCCGTCACTTTCGAGCGGTTGCTCAGACGCTTCCTCGACCTGTGCCACATGGCGCATGAGGTCGGCGTCACGGTCGCGTACGAGTACGACTGTCAGGAATGGCTCCGCCTCGGCACGCATATCGAGAACAAGGATCCCTCGGTGGACCCGGGCGCCAGCTTCGAGAAGGTCGACCACGCCTTGCGCAGCGACGTCAAGGAGCAGCGCAACAGGGCAAGGCAGGCCGGCGACGGCGCAGGCCGCGGCGGCTGGGGCGCGGGCAGGAGCCCGCAGGGCCACGCGAGCCAGCCTGCGCGTGGGCAGGCGGCGCCGGCGCCGGCGCCGCCGCTCCCTGAGCCGCGCGCGCCGCTGCCGCTTCCCAGCGCAATTTTCCCAAACGCATCAGCCGCAAACCGCCAGGTTGAACGAGACGCTTCCTGATCTCTGCAACGTCCCCTCTCCCACATTTCAGCGTTGACTTGCGTCAGTTTCTCCTCCCAGACCTAGGGTGCCGCATCGAGGCCAGCATTGCATTGTAGGGGGTTGGGGGATTGGGCGCCGAGGTGGTTTCGCAATTTGGGTACAACTGCACGCGGTCTTAATGCATTTGCGTTCGCTCCTCCTTCCGCCAGACCTCTGCTGAGTTTTCCCTGAACGGCGATAGCTTCGGTGTCCTTCCTCCATTGACTGCTGAGGGCGGGGTCAGGATTTCGCGCATTTGCCGCGGCCCGTCGTGACTCGGTGGAGTTTCTGTGGCCCCTTGGGCCTTGGGCCCTTGTGGCCCTGGTTGGGGGCTGAGGTTCAGGACTCACCGAGGTTGCCTTGCCCGATGATGGCTGCGGTTCTTCGGGTTACATCGTGACCCTCCGGGAGGTGAGAGCCCACATCTCTGCCAGTCACAGTCTCCCGACCAGTCTGCACGCGATGGTTTCGCTCGACGCAGCACGCCTATACGCTGATCCATCGTCCCCTAGCTCAGGGACATCATGGATGATGCGGCTGTCGCGCGGGGGAACGGCCGCGTGCACCCAGTCGCACCAGGGGTGGGCAGAAGGGGAGGGCGTTCACTCGCGGAGGCCACGTGGGGCGTTCCAAACACGGCCTTGCCTTCGAGAGTCGAAGGAGTTGGCGTCGCTTCCGCGGCGGAAGGATGGCGGAAGGTCGGCGGAAGTAAGACGAGGCCGCCTCCTGCCGACGGAAGCTGGCGGCAGCTCGGCGGAAAGCGGCGGAGGTAAAACATGGCCCCCCAAGAGATGAAGACCTTTATGTGTTCACGGTTTCCGAAATCGCCCGTGTGGCCGCTCTCACGGGTTCGGTCCCCCGGGCTCATGTCCGGCCCGCTCCGAAGGGACTCCGAGTTCGTGCTGCACCTCAAGCACGGCGGCGGTGGCCTGAGCCACCGCGGGGTCATCTACCTGCAGAGCAGGGACGGTCGGAGGGTGCTCGGCGCCGAGGAGGAGGAAGAGACCCTGCAGGCCAGAGGGCCTTGGGAGGGGCGCGCCGGACTGTGGGGGGAGCGCGGGGCGTCGGGCCCGGAAAGTCTGGCACGAACTCTCTCTCATGACATGGGCTTCCAGCGTCTCTCCTTTTCCTCCTCCACCTCCTCTTCCTCCTCCTCCTCCTCCTCCTCCTCCTCCTCCTCCTCCTCCTCCTCCTCATCCTCATCCTCATCTTCATCCTCATTGTCATTCTCTTCTTCTCTCCATCCTCTCAGCATCCGTCCGAGCCCCAATCACCCACTCATCGCCCAAAGAACCCGATGGCCCACCCCGAACAGAAACGCTCGGATTCGCTAGGGGGCCTACCGCCGATCTGTCGACGATATGTCGTCGATTCAAGGTCGAAGTGTCCCCCCCCTGAGCCAGCTCACCCCTGCCGTTGAGCCTCATAGACGGTCGGCGCCCTCCCCGTCTCCCGCGATACCAAGACCTCCGACGCCGCGATTGTGTCGGAACGTTTGCACCCCCCCCTGAGGCGTCGGCCCTTCTCGGGTCGGGCGAAACGGGGGGATAGCAAAGGGGGGGTTTGAAAATCACCTCGCGTAGCTGATTTTCCCGGCGCTTCCCGGCGCCGGAGGCGGCCATGTATCGAGGAATGGGCCCTTCGGTGAGGCCGAAACCAGCTGCATGCAGTAAATTTCGTAACCTCCCGTTTCCCAATCCCCCCCTTTCGTCCGGCCCGACCTTCCTGAGACCACCTTTCGGATTCCCGTCTGTTTCTTCACGGTCCCCGCGCTGGGTGGGCGCTCATTTCCGTCCCCAGGGGCCGGATTTCAGATCTCGTTGATGGTCCCGGGGCTAGGCGAGGGCCCCTCGGAGGTCCAGAAATTTCACAAGCCTTGCCATCGTGATGTGTGTTAGATCGGTCATGTCCCTCTACAGGAGGAATCTTCCAAAATAGTCAGATACAGTATGGGGACGATTTTCCCAATAGCTTTACATCTTTTCAAGTAAGCAAGGGGGCCGAACGGTCATTCATTGTCCCTGGGTGCATGACTGAATAAGGAATTCGTGGTGGGAATTCTGCTTGTTGCGTTGTTGTTGTTGTTGTTGTTGTTGTTGTTGTTGTTGTTGTTGTTGTTGTTGCTGTTGCTGTTGCTGTTGCTGTTGCTGTTGCTGTTGTTGCTGTTGTTGTTTGTTGTCGTCGTCCCACCCGCGACCCACCCGCGACCCACCCCGCGACCCACCCCGCGACCCACCCCGCGACCCACCCCGCGACCCACCCCGCGACCCACCCCGCGACCCACCCCGCGACCCACCCCGCGACCCAAACCCGCGACCCGCCCGCGACCCACCCCGCGACCCGCCCGTGACCCGCCCGCGACCCACCCGCGACCCACCCGCGACCCACCCCGCGACCCACCCGCGACCGACCCCGCGAGCCATCCGCGACCCACCCGCGACCCACCCCGCGACCCACCCTCAAGGACAATTGACGTTTATTGAACGGCCCTGGGCGTTGACGAAACAGCCCTGCCTTGTTCGATTCATTCCTCGTGTGCGTTTACTAAACGGCTTCGCTTGTCGGGGTGATTATTGTGGGGTGGACTTCCTTCCCTCTACACCCGCGACCCACCGGCGACCCACCCGCGACCCAACAGCGACCCACCCGCGACCCACCCGCGACCCATTTGCGACCAAACCGCCACCCACCCGCGACCTACCCACATTGGTTTAACGAAAAAACTCGGCGCCTGCGGCGGTCTCGTTGTACAACGTGTGAAACTTTGGCGCCTGCGGCGGGTTTCTCCAGAGTCTCGCAAACTGCCGACGTCCCCACAGCTCCCTCACTCTTATCCGCATCTGCGGGGCTACGTATTTGTTGACTACGTTTTACTTCTCCCCATACAAATCCACCCGTAGGAAGACATGTCCGACCTACGACTTGTGCCACGACGCGAAGGGATCCGTCCTCGGGGGCCCCCGGGCGCGTTCTGGCCACAGTCTCGAGACGGATCCTGCCGCGGCCACGCGGAGCCTGCCGGATGCACCAATAAGGGCGAAGGAGCGCAGAGGATCCTCTATCTCCCTCCCTCCTCGCTCATCCCTCCTGTCCAGGGCTCATTTCGATTCCTCCGATTCGATTCGATTCGACTTCGATGGCTTCCGATTCCGATTCGATTCGACGATGTGTGTTCCTATTTCTTCTTGGAGGCATACTAGGCTGCCGATCTCCGCCGATTCTGCCTTTCCCGATTCGGCTGCCGATGCCCAGCGATCCGATTAATTTCGATCGCCGATCGACTAATCGATTCGATTCTGGGCTCTCCTGCCTGTCGCATTGCATGCAGCGATCCGCACGCCGCGCCTCGATGGTCGCGCTTGTCCATCCTCACTCTTGCGTGTGGCCGCGTCGCTCCCGTGACAGGGCAACTGGAACGACTTCGGCTGGTGGCAACAGCTGGTCGTGGACAAGGCCGGGCCATCCCAGACACACGAGGGGGCTTGCTTCTTGTTTGCCCTGCGGTGTTTCCTTGACCTCCTAGGGCCGGTTTCGGGCTCCAGGACCATAAAGAATGGATCCGTGACGAAACACCGACCCTGGGGAAGCAGTCGAGGCCTCTGCCGTCGGACTGCAGAGCAATAAGTCGTCGGACGTCTGGGTCCGTGGCGCCTTGTCGGAGGGGTCAGGGTGAGTGTGCAGGGGCGGCATTCGAAGGAGGCAGGAAAAGGGCCCCGCCTCTGGAAGATCATACGGTCGAGACGCTGGTCTCGGGAGGGATTGCTTTTTTCTGTGGGCCGTTCCATAGAGCTGCCCGTGCCAGGGAACCTGTTCGTGATCGAGGCTGGCCGTGGCCAGAACGGCCCCTTCGTTGCTGCTCTATAGTTACGGTAGCACGATGACAATAACGCCTTGCGTTCTCTGGGAAGCCAGTGGCTTTCTTAGAGGGCCGCCTCCATCGCTCGAGGAGGAGGAGGAGGAGGAGGAGGAGGCGGACGAGGCAGAGGAGAAGGACGAGGGAGAGGACGAGGAATGACGAGGAACGACGAGGAGGAGGAGGAGGAGGAGGAGGAGGAGGAGGAGGAGGAGGAGGAGCCCGTTGACGCACGTGGAGGGCGGCTGTGGACAACGGCATGGCAGCAGCCCGTACGCTTGTGAGCGGCTGACCCACCGCCCGTGAGCTTGGGCAGCGAGCACATCTCTTTCTCCGATCGCAGCCCCTCGAAGTGAGGAGGGGCACACCGCCGTGAGCGCGCAGCTTGCCGTGGCGCGCTGGGTCCGCCAGGCAGGGACATGGATCGGAAGCTGGGCGAGGGCTGCTAAAACCGTGGCTGCTAAAACGGCCCTCCCGGAAGGAAAAAGCAACTTCCCGGAATGAGGCGCGACACGCGAGACAGTCAACGGGCTTCTTCCCGGAAGGACGAGGACAACTTCCCGGAGGTCGATTTTAGCAGCCACGGATTTAGCAGCCCTTGCCCGGCTTCCGAATGGAAGGAGGGGACGGATTGGCGAATGCCAGAGAAGCGCGAAGGAATGAAGTGAGAAAGTGTGGCAAATCCAAACATGCGCTGCGCACGAAGTATTTGAACACGTTCGTAAGCCCAGGGGGACGTCGCAAGACACTCCTCTTGAAGAGTCGCGACATCCCAGCATTTATTGGAAAGGGCAAAGTACAAACAATTTGATGGGCAATGGGGCCTCTTCACCAGAATCTGCTACAGGAGCCTTCCACCGGATGTTGCACGGAGCATCAAGACCTGAGAGCGTTATGGACTCCATCGTACAATATTCACAACGTACCTCAGTATATGCTCACACTGCTTACAAACGAAAGTATGAACAAGTACGTGTGCCTTTCTTGCCCTATGGGCCTCCGCCAGGCACAGCCGGGAGCCCCGCCAGAAAGCTATTGAGCCCTGACGTCAGTTCCGTCAGAGCAGCCTTCGTGATTCGTCTCCACTCAGCCTCGATGTCAGCTCCTCGCATCGCCTCCGCCAGAGCCACTGTCAATGGAGTCGTCGCCTCCACAATCGTCGTGGCAGCAGCTGGGCAAATCGTGGTGTCATCGGCGTCGGCTCTCGGTTTCTTCAGGCTTCCGCGCTCCTTCTCCTCCGCTCCCGCAGGCAGGCCTGGGTTCCGGAGACTGCAACGCGATGTTGTCGACCACGTCCCGCGCGACGCTGTTATATGACTTATGACAATTTCCCTCCCTTCTGCCTTCGATCATGGCCAGGGCCTCCGCGTGGTCGGCGCCGCAGCACCAGACATCGGCACAAAGATCGGAGCATCCGTCGGCGCCAGGCACGGCACTGGCAGGCCTAGCACGAAAGTCCCGGGAGGGAGCGTCTGGCGCCAAGGAGGCCGCTGAGCGCCAAGGCGCCCAGCGGCCGCCTTGGCGCTTGCACGAACGTGAACAGCATCCCCGCCAGAAGGGGCAGCAGCAGCTCTGGCGTCTGTGCTGAGCCCAGCCTGCGCGGCCACGCGCTCAGGGGGGCTAGGGGGAGGGGGGGAAGCCTCCTTAGGAGAGTGCCCCTACTTACACGGCGCGGGCCCTTCGCCTGTGGATGCAGGGCCGTCGCCTCCTAAGAGGCGACCTGCTTCTGAGAAGCCTCCCCCCCTCCCCCCTGCCCCCCCCTCGGTGCGCGCCGCCAACCTTCGGGAGGGGAAAAACACACACACAGACACAATTGATCGGCGATCCCCAGAAAATATGGGAAAATATGGGAAGTGGGGGGGAAGACAGAAACCCAGAAAATATGAGAAAATGTGGGGGATTATGTTATTTGTGTGTATTTATTTGTGTGTCCTAGGGCCCCTTCAAACCTGCACCGCGCCCCTCGGGCGCGTGGCGCAGCAGCGCCTGTGCCGCAGGGCGCCCACGGCCTCGAGGAGGTGCGCCGCGCCTGCCTGCGCACGAGACGCCTCGGCCGCGGAGCGGCGTGGGGCACCCCTCCCGGGGAGCCCCGGGCGGGGCCCGCATGCCGGAGGCGAGGAGAGGGCGAGCCGAGGCAGGGGCGCCGCCAGGCAGGAGCTCGCACCGGAGCCAGCGCGTGAGGGAGGAGGAGGAGGAGGAGGAGGAGGAGGAGGAGGAGGAGGACCAGTGCAAGCCCAAGGGTCACCAACGATGTTGGAATTGGCCCTCCCTCTTCATAGGCCCCCTACAGCGGTTCATTTCCACAGAAGGCACTGCCTCGTTGGAAGGTAGCCGTTTGAAGTCCTCGAAGCATGCCAAAACATGTCGCTCGGGATGCCATCGCCGCGGATAAACTTGATTGCTGCGTCCTGACGACCCGGCATAGAGCCACATGTTGAAACGACCCGCCCTCAATCCGTGAAACTCTTGCAGCAGTGTTAAACAACACGGGCGTGCACGGCGCTAAGGCGAGAGCCACATTTTTGAAAATGGGTTGCCCTCAATGTCTGAACTCTTACGAAGTTTGTAAGACGAGTGTGCGCGGCACTCATGCGAGAGCCACTTTTTTGACAACGACCCGTCCTCCATATGTCAAGCTTCAGGGTCATACATGATAAGGAAGTCTCATGCGAAACGCCCGGCTCGCACTAAAAACTGGATTCGGGATGCGACGGGGATAAGTTATTTATAAGGAAAGGAATGGAGGAGGAGGAGGAGGAGGAGGAGGAGGAGGAGGAGGAGGTGGAGGAGGAGGAGGAGGAGGAGGAGGAGAAGGAGGGAGGAGGAGAAGAAGGGAGGAGGAGGGAGGAGGAGCTGAGGAGATGAGGACGAGGAGGAGGAAGAGGAGCAGAAGGAGGAGAAGGAGGATGAGACGGAGGAGGAGGAGGAGGAGGAGGAGGAGGAGGAGGAGGAGGAGGAGGAGGAGGAGAGAGGGAGGGAGGGAGGGAGGACGGGAAGGAGGGAGGACGAGGTGGAGGAGGGGATGGCCGACACGGAGGAGGACGAATGGGAAATGCAGCGGGGCCAAGCATTCAGACATCATATGCTTTCTCATCTGTCTGTTTGCATATATATGTATATATATGTGTGTGTATACACATGTATGTTGCATATGTATACACATATGTGTATGTACGTGTCGGCTCCCGGGGACCGAACGCGGCCCCTGGGGGCCGAGCACGCCGTAGCTCCGCGTCCGCGCCCGCGCGCGCGGCGGCGGACCCCCGCGGCGAGGCGCCCGCGGCCGAGCAGCCGTCCCCGAGCCCCGCCGCGGAGAGCCCCGCGGCCCAGGCGCGGCGCGGCGGCGTGGCCGCGGCGCCGAGCCCCGCGGCGAGGACGCCGGCGGCGAAGGCCCGGCGGAGGCCCAGCACCGCGGGCTCCTCGGGCGACGAGAACCTCGGAGGAGGAAAAGGTGCCCGGTACCTCTACCCCCTCGCCCGTTTTCCCCAGCTCGGGCCTCCTGGGAGGCCCTCGCCCTCCTCACAGATCGATCCGGCTCGAAGAGCTACGCAGAAAGATGGGGTCCGGGAGTTCGGTCGTGGTCTTGTTCGACGTTGCAGTTTTTTTTGCAACGTCGGATCTCAGGGGAGTTGCGTGTCGATCCATCGTGTTTTTGTTTCGCCCTCTGGGCCATCGCGTTGTGCCCCCTCTCCCGCCCCTCTCCCCCCACCCCCAAGAACGTGACGCGCCCCCTCCCCTGTCTGCAGTGCGTCCCCAGCGCTGCCGCAGTGCGTCTGGCAACACAATCTGCGGTGCCGGCCCACACGGCGGGGGGCGGGGGGGCATTACGTTATGCCCCCCCCCTACCACCACAACGCTTCCCCACCTCCCGTAACGCCTGTTATCGCCGCGGTGATTGCTCTCATAGGAGCTCCTTGGGCGTCACTATCGCGAATGAGGAAAAGGATGAGAAGATACCGATACCGTTACCCCCGCGTGCACGGCTGGATACGCCTCGACATCCTGGTCAGGATGGCCTGTGGGAGAGGACCACGGAGATGCGGTATCGTGTTTTCTTGTTGTCTACCCTCATAGTTCACAGCTTGCCAGAGCAGCACGCCCGTGCAACACCGCGCAACGACGCGCCCTTTTCCAGAGTGGCGTTGAGTGGTGTTGCGCGGTGTAGGTTTCTAAGTCATTTCCCAGAGGCACCTGTGGATCGGACGCGTAACTTGAGATCCGCGCGTGTTCACGCTGGGCGCTTTGGGCCCAGGACCCTCGCGGATCGATCTGGCTCGAGGGATGACGCAAAAAGATTGGGTCGAGGATTTCGCCAAGCATTGCTCGCACTTAGGGCTCATGCCTTCTGTTGCCGAAGGAATTGGATGGGCGTGCCGTGCCGAGGTCTCGCCAGGTTGCCGCCCGTGGGCGCCTCGCGGGCGCTTCGTGTGCTGGATATGTGCGCCGAGATTGCGCCACGTTGTCATCCGTGGGCGCCTCGGTGAGCGCTTCGTGTGCCGAGTAAGGTGTTCCGAGGTCTCGCCACGCTGCAGCCCTTGGACGATCGCGGGCGCATCACGAGCGCATGCCGTCCTGTGCTCGGTGCTCACACCACATAGGCACCAAGGAGCTCGTGCCACACAGCTTACACCTCGTAGCTTACATCTCATAGCTTGCACAGCACAGCATCCGTCACATAGCGTGCACCACGTAGCTTATCTCACATAGCCTGCGCCGCAAAGCCTGCACCACACAGCTTACACCGCATAGCTTACGTCACAGCTTTCGCTACCCACACCACGTACCTGGCACTATATCACTTATTGCTTTACGCAGCTTGCACCACAGAGACTGCTGCACACAACTCACACATTCACAGTGCAAGAATTCGCTGCGTGGGGCACACCCTGGCAAACGAGCTTCCCTACAATGATGAAATTTGCCACGTCAGATCTCAGGTGATGCCCTGGTTGCCTCAAGTAGCTTTCGGGCGGCCAGTGGGCCTGGGCGTGGGGGGAGGGGGCGTGGTCGAGAGCGGGACCCCATGTGGTCTTGGGGGGGGGGGGCCTGCGGGCAGCGGGAAGGGTTGTAGTCTGGGGGCGAGGCAGTTGTTGGCCGGGAGGGGGAGGGCCCTCGTAGCCCGTTGGGTAGCCGTGGCGCCGCGGCCGCGCGCGCAGCGACGCGGCGGAATCAGGCAGAGTGGTTGTATCAGCACGCACAGACACACAGACGCAGACAGACAGACACAGACGCAGACACAGGCACAGGCACAGACACAGACACAAACACAGACACACGCACACACACACACACACACACATACACGCACACACACACACACACACGCGCACACGCACGCACACACACACACACACACACACACACACACACACACACACACACACACACACACACACACACACACACATATATATATATATATATATACACACATACGCACATACACACGCACACACACACACACGCACACACACACACACACACCGCACACACACACGCGCACACACACGCACACACACACACACGTACACACACACACACACACGCACACACACACACGCACACACACACACACGCGCATACACCCACCTATCCTGATGCATGCGCCGATCCCTGGTTCAGGATGAGCCTGTCCAGGGCTGGTATATCCAGACATCCGACGTCGTGCTTTTTCACAACGTGGCTCCCCAGAAGTCTGGACGCCTTCCCTGGGACTGGGCTGCCATCCCTCAGCATCGTTGCTCGCCGGTCCTGGTGCCAGGCGGGATCCCCCAGAGGCAGGACAGCAGCAGACAACATCGGTCATGATGTTTGTCACGCTGCGAGGATGTCAGGGCATGTGCCGCGGCGAGCCCCGGGGGTGGAGGTGCGAGGGGGCAGGTCTTCTCAGTCGGCGGCAGGGCTCCCCAGAAGCCCCGACGGCCTTCCCTCTCAGCAGCGTCCGCGGCCTCCTCCGAAGACGGAGGCCCCTTCTCAGAAGGCCAGGGGGGGGGGGGGGGGGCGTCCGAGAAGCCCCGCCGCCTCCTCGGAGGAGGCCTGCCCCCTCTCGCCGTCCCTCCCGGGCCTCGCCGCCGAGCCGTGCTCGGCGCTCCTCCCCAGGCTTGGGGCCAACGCCGGCCGGGAAGGGGTCCAGCGGCAAGCGCAAGGCCCCGCCGCACGCGCGCAGGGCCTCGGGCCCCGTGCGCCGTGGAAGTCTACTCTTGTCGCAGCCGTCGGCGTCGTTGTTGCGCGGCGGGTGCCGCGGGGAAAAGCACAACTGGTTTCCTTCCTTGGTGGAACGCCCATGCGTGAACAAGGCCGCCGACAAAAACTAGTTAATTACACCGTTTTGGAGGGGGGGTCAAAAGACCCTTACCGGTTAGTTAGATCGCCTCGCAGCATGGGTCCAGGCCTCCCAGATGGGGGCCGGAGCAGAGGGTGGCGGAGGATCGCTCCGCCTCGCTGCACTCCGACCCCATCTGCCCAGACCCCGTGCGAGAAACCTCTCGTGGGTCCGGGGGTGGACTTGCGACCCCCGATCCCGAAGCTCCTCGCGTCGTGGAGAAGTCGCGGCGGGAGGTCGTTGGCAATTGCCAGCATCTGGGGTGGGGGGGCATCACTGGGCCCGGGGACAACCGAACAACGACTCCGATTAGAGAGCCCGCTTTGCAGGGGCAGGAGTCGAGGTCCCTGGCGGCCCATGTCATGAACAAAATGCGACGGCGGAGCGGGCCCCACACCAGGGCAACTCGGCCACGCACAGAGGGCAGCAGGGGGAGGGGAGAAGGCTTACAAGACGTAACCCGGCTTCTTGGAAGGCGCGGGCCTTGTATGTAGATGCATGGCCCGCGCCTTCTGAGAAGCAGCCTCCCTCTAAGAAGCCTCCCCCCCTCCGCCTAACCCCCCTTCTGCGCGCCGCCAAGCAACAGTCTGGAAGTTCCCTGACACCCGGCACCTTCGGTGCGTGCGTTCCCCCCTGCTTCCTCCTCCGCCTCCTCCTCCTGCTCCTCCCCCTCCTCCTCCTCCCTCCTCCTCCGCCTCCTCCTCCTCCTTTCCCTCCTCCTCCTCCTCCTCCTGCTCATCGGTCTCCTCGCCTCCTCCTCCTCCTCCTCCTCCTCCTCCTCCATCCTCCTCCTCCTCCTCCTCCTCCTCCTCCTCCTCTTCTTCTTCCTCCTCCTCCTCCTCCTCCTCCGCTCCTCCTCCTCCTCCTCCTCCCACTTCTCCTGCTCCTCCTCCTCCTCCTCCTCCTCCTCCCCCTCCTCCTCCTTCTCCCTCGGGGCCAGTCTCGCGTCCCGAGCGAGTTCTTGACAGACTGGGGCCCGAGACGGGCCTCTCCAGAGGTCAGACGCGCTGACAAGCCAGCCCCCTCAGTACGGTCGGACCGAGGTATAACATCGAGGTCGGACTGAGGGAGGTCCTCTCGCCGGTGGCGAGCGAGGGGGGAAAGTTTCGGGTTCGAGGTTTGAGGTTTTCGCACGTTTTCGTCTGTTCCTGGCCGTTTTCCAGCCTCGGGATGCTTGCCAGCAGTTGTGCCTCGCCGACGGCGTTCTGGTGGTGCCCAGATCGTCCCGAACGGCATCCGGAGACCCGAGTTATGACCCAAAAACCAAATTCGGCTGCGCGCCTGGAGGGCAGCCTAGTATGATTCGTGTTTGTTGGACGTTCTTGTGCACCTTGGGGAGGGTACCCTCGAATGTTCTTCAGTTTGGCCGGCGGATGGTCTCATGTTTCTGTTGGGTGTTCTTCTGTTCGAGATCCGGCCGTGGATTGTTGTTCGAGGTGCTGGATGTCTGGGGAGGTGCTTGCCTCCAGGCGCAACAGATAACCACAACACCACAACTAAGTGGACTGTGCGGGAGGGCTCCTCGGGGGAGAACCCGCCGACCTCGACAGGAGCACCTTGGTTGTGGTTGTGATCCATTGGAGGTCCTGGGACGCCAAGTCGACCACAAGCAGTACGAAGCTGGTTTCGGTGTTCCGACAATTGTGGCATGCGCAAGACATCCCACAGGGTGTATCCTCGATGTGGTGGTGGTCGCTTGCTGTCCCCGCGTTGCCTCGGCCACGCGCACAAGGGGGTAGGGGGAGGGGGACGGCTTCTTAGAAGGAGGCTGCTTTGCAGAAGGAGCGGGCCCTACATCTATACAGTGGAGACCCATGCCAAGAAACACCCTGCTTACCTCTGGGGTGCCCTGGGTTTCTTAGGTTTCGATGGTTTTCCTACGGGTAGCGTGACGTTCCCACACCAAAAGTGAATGGACGCCCTGGGGTCTCAGGGTTGGGTTTCTTGTGGAAGGTTTCTTGTGGTCGGGCCCCTACTGTAGAAGTGAGGCCCGCGCCTTGCAAGGAGCAGCCTCCGTCTAAAAAGGCGCCCAGGGGTCGGCTGGACCCCGTTCGATGATCTGGCATGAGGGCGTCCTGGAGCCCAGAGGCTGCGCTGGTTGTGTAGCTGGCCTCGCGCTGACACACACCTCGCCGAGGCTCGGTGCACAGGCCGTTGAGCCCGTCGTGTGAGCTTCGAGCTCGGGCAGTATGCTTCTCCCCTGACGATCCCCTCTGGTGGGCAGGCATTGCCCCCGAATTGCACATTGATCGCCGATGCGGGCCCGATAGCCCACCCCGCCCAGGAACGTGCGGTCACGCTATCGGGGGCTTATCGCCGATCTTTCAGTGATGCATCGCCGATTCAAGCTCGATGTGTCCCCCCTGAGGTGTTCCCCCCTCATTATCCTTCCTCTCCCAGGGGCCCAGGAGGTTTTTTTTTCCCAACCATCCTGTGGTGTTGGGTCCTCGTTTTGAAGAGGCGGTGCCCCGCGTTCCTCTCCTTCCTCTCCTCCTCCCTCCTCCCCCTCCTTGCCTCTGCTCTCGGCACACCTCTCACGCGTTTCGTAGCCCCATAGGGAGCTCCACCGAAGGCCCCAGTGGGGGTGTTCGCATGCGGTTCCCCCACCCAGGGCAGCGTTTCGTGGCCCCATAGGGAGCTCCACCGAAGGCCCCAGTGGGGGTGTTCGCATGCGGTTCCCCCACCCAGGGCAGCGTTTCGTGGCCCCATAGGGAGCTCCACCGAAGGCCCCAGTGGGGGTGTTCGCATGCGGTTCCCCCACCCAGGGCAGCGTTTCGTAGCCCCATAGGGAGCTCCACCGAAGGCCCCAGTGGGGGTGTTCGCATGCGGTTCCCCCACCCAGGGCAGCGTTTCGTGGCCCCATAGGGAGCTCCACCGAAGGCCCCAGTGGGGGTGTTCGCATGCGGTTCCCCCACCCAGGGCAGCGTTTCGTGGCCCCATAGGGAGCTCCACCGAAGGCCCCAGTGGGGGTGTTCGCATGCGGTTCCCCCACCCAGGGCAGCGTTTCGTGGCCCCATAGGGAGCTCCACCGAAGGCCCCAGTGGGGGTGTTCGCATGCGGTTCCCCCACCCAGGGCAGCGTTTCGTGGCCCCATAGGGAGCTCCACCGAAGGCCCCAGTGGGGGTGTTCGCATGCGGTTCCCCCACCCAGGGCAGCGTTTCGTAGCCCCATAGGGAGCTCCACCGAAGGCCCCAGTGGGGGTGTTCGCATGCGGTTCCCCCACCCAGGGCAGCGTTTCGTAGCCCCATAGGGAGCTCCACCGAAGGCCCCAGTGGGGGTGTTCGCATGCGGTTCCCCCACCCAGGGCAGCGTTTCGTGGCCCCATAGGGAGCTCCACCGAAGGCCCCAGTGGGGGTGTTCGCATGCGGTTCCCCCACCCAGGGCAGCGTTTCGTGGCCCCATAGGGAGCTCCACCGAAGGCCCCAGTGGGGGTGTTCGCATGCGGTTCCCCCACCCAGGGCAGCGTTTCGTAGCCCCATAGGGAGCTCCACCGAAGGCCCCAGTGGGGGTGTTCGCATGCGGTTCCCCCACCCAGGGCAGCGTTTCGTGGCCCCATAGGGAGCTCCACCGAAGGCCCCAGTGGGGGTGTTCGCATGCGGTTCCCCCACCCAGGGCAGCGTTTCGTGGCCCCATAGGGAGCTCCACCGAAGGCCCCAGTGGGGGTGTTCGCATGCGGTTCCCCCACCCAGGGCAGCGTTTCGTGGCCCCATAGGGAGCTCCACCGAAGGCCCCAGTGGGGGTGTTCGCATGCGGTTCCCCCACCCAGGGCAGCGTTTCGTGGCCCCATAGGGAGCTCCACCGAAGGCCCCAGTGGCATGCGGTTCTTCGCATGCAATCCCCCACCCAGGGCAGCGCTTCGTGGCCCCATGGGGAGCTCCACCGAAAGCCCCCGTGGCGCAGTTCGCATGCGCTTCCCCCACCCAGGGCAGCGTTTCGTGGCACCATAGGGAGCTCCACCGAAGGCCCCAGTGGCGCAGTTCGCATGCGGTTCCCCCACCCAGGGCAGCGTTTCGTAGCCCCATAGGGAGCTCCACCGAAGGCCCGCCCCGGTGGCGCAGTCCGCATGCGGTTCCCCCATCCAAGGCAGCGCTTCGTGGCCCCATATGGAGCCCCACCGAAAGCGGCACCCACAACGCGTTACCAACAATTGCTTATGGTTGGGTCTTTCGCCAGGATAATTGTTTTAATCTTGAGCGCCGAACTGCCAGGTCATCACCAGGGGCCGGAACACAGCTGCGAGAGATGCCCTTCTCAACAGATGCCGCGCGAGGGCGCGACGGGTAGCCGCACGTCGCTGGGTGCAGAGCGCAAAGTTGAGTGATCTAGAATCCAATAGTAGCCCCCTTCGTCGCGAAAAAAATCGCGACGGGACGTCGTTGTCCTCGGGCTCCCCTGCACGGCCCCCGGAGCCGTCAAAGAGCAACTCGGGGGTGAAACGCCGCTCTCGGGGAGAGGGTCAGACATTCGGGGGCCCACCTCCTCCTCGTCCTCCTCCTCCTCCTCCTCCTCCTCCTGCTCTTCCTCCTCCTCCTCCTCCTCCTCCTCCTCCTCCTCCTCCTCCTCCTCCTTATCCTCCTCCTCCTCCCCCTTCTCCCTCCTCCTCCTCCTCTTCCTCCTTGGGATGCCCACCGCCTCCCACGGCTCACGATGCGGCTCGGAGGGCGGCCGTGCGGGGACGCCAACCCCCTCTCCCCCTCCCCCTGCAGGCCAGGTGGCGGACTGGGCAAGCTCGAGTCCCCCCCCCCCTGCAGCAGCCTGGCTGCCTCGATCCGCCCGCTTCGAAGCACAACGCGTGCCGTGCTCAAGAGGTCCGCGCCAACAGGTTGCGTGTTGGCTCAACGTATTGGCCCACGTTTTGGCGAACGTTTCGCGTCAGACCTACGTTTTCAGTCCACGCGTTGAGTTCCGTACCGCTACGTTAAGTGTTGCGTGTTGCGCATCGGGGCAGCGAAGTGCAGCAGTGGACACGCACCGCCGTCGCAGGCGCAATGTGGTGGCCGCTGGCTGGCCGCCCCAGTCTGCCCGTTGCCTCTGGGGGGTCCACAGTGTGAGATCATCTCGACCTCGACGATGACGACGACGGTGACGACGACGTCGAGGATGACGACGACAACGTCGAGGACGACGACGTCGAGGACGACGACGACGACGACGACGACGACGACGACGACGACGACGACGACGGCGACGACGGCGGCGGTGGCGGTGGCGGCGGCGCCATCCACTTTCCGCTGCCCCCGCTCCGCCCGTCTTACTTGCACGCTGGCCCACGTGATTCTTCCTCGGCGCAGGACGCCAGCCGCCGTGTTTGGATCGGTCTTCGGTTCACGGGAGCTCGTGTGGGATCGCTCAGGCTTTCTCCCGCCTTCCTTGTGGTGTGTGTGTGTGTCTGTGTGTGTTGGGTCTGCGTTTTGAAGAGACAGCGCCCCGCGTCACTCACCTCACCTCCCTCCTCCCTCTCCTCCCTCCCATCATCTGCCCTCTGCCCTCCGCATGTCAATTTGCTCGGCACACCCATGCACGCTTCTTGGCTCCAGGCGGAGCTCAACGGAAGGCCCCAGTGGCAGGGTCCACATGCGTCTCCCCCACCCAATACACCGTTTCGTGGCCCACAGGGAGCAACACCGAAGACCCCAGTGGCAGGTTCCACATGCGTCTCGCCCACACTGTACCACGCGTCGTGGCCTATAGGGAGCTCCACCGAAGGCAGTAGTGGCAGGGTCCACATGCGTTTCCTCCATCCAGTACAGCGTCTCGTGGCACATAGGGAGCCCCACCGAATGCCCCAGTGGCAGGGTCCACATGCGTCTCCCCCACCCAGTACATCGCTCAGTGTCCCTATAGGCCCTAATGGCAGGGTCTACATGCGTCTCCCCCGACCAGCACACGGTTTCGTGGTCCATCGTGAGCCCCACCGAAGGCCCCGGTGGCAGTGTCCACATGGGCCTCCCCCACCGCGTACAATGTTTCGTGGCTCATACATCACCGTGACGAAAGCTTTTCCATCTGCCTTCTCGAATAGCGCATCAGCGCGGAGTAGTTCGGAGTAAACTACTCCAACTATTCCGCGCGCGGGCGCATCCCGCTCGATAATTCATAAGGTTTTGATCGGAGTAGTTTCCAATCCGTTGAGCGGATCGGAAACTACTCCGCCGAATGACCCAGTCATCATGCCATGTTAGAAATCTTCAGAGGGATCGGAGATATCATCATGGCAAATTGAAGAAATTTTTGCCCCGGCTGTGTAGGGAGCTCTACCGAAGGCCCCAGTGGCGAAGGTCGCATGCTGCCCCCCCACCCAGTACACAGTGTCGTGGCCCATAGGGAGCTCCACCAAAGGCCCCAGTGGCAGAGTCACATGAGTTTCCCCCCGTCGAGTACAATGTTCCGTGGCCTCCTCCTCCGACTCCTCCTCCGCCTCCTCCTCTTCCTCCTCTTGCTCCTCCTCCTCATCCGCATCATCCAGCGCCATACGTAGCACGCTTGTGGTTTCACCCAACCATCTCCTTTTCATCAGATTGCCAACATGCACGGCTTCTGTAGGTTCAGTTCATGGGAAGGGCATCCGGTCAGGGTCCGACCGACAAACTCGGGATTGACCATGGGGGAAATGTCCGCAGGGTGTGGTGAGGCGATGGCCGCCACCAGGGCAAGCACCGATCTTGAAGGTGACCCGCTGAACGTAGGAAGGCGGCAACTGCGGGACCTGGAGGATGCCTTGAGCCAATCCTGTCGTTTCCTCCCACCCCTCGAAGGCGACTAGTTCCACGATGCCCTGGGGAGGTCACCAGGGAGCTGGATGTACAGGACGCTGCTGGCCGGGACGAGAGTTCGATGCACGTTTGGCCAGATGTCGTTCTTGCCCTCTGCCATTCTATGGCTGGGCACGCTGGGCTTCCCTCCTGTATTCCCAGCGCGCGGCCACCAGTTATTCAACATGTGAATCCAGCCATGTGACATGTGTGTTTCCAGCTTCCTGGCACCCCAGACGTCCAGGAGCATCCACCGTGCTTCGTCTGCCGCCCCCCCCCCTTTGCTCGGCTGCACGCAAGGAGTGTGACCCCTCGCCAGGGTGGCCTTCGGTAGGCGTCCCTCCCAGCACTGGCCTGCGCGCTGGGATCTGACCCCCCCGCGGCACCCGACAGCCGCGCACAGGATGCCGCCCGTGCCCAGGGCCACGCATTTTGCGTGTGGGCGACGCTCTGCCCTCCCCTTAGGCCCCCGGCGCCGCGAAGTCCGGCTCTCCACGGAAGCGGGCTCGCCCGGCAGCGGCCGCCACTTCCCCGAGCGCCCGCCGCTGACCCTGGCGCCCGAAATACTGCTGAACCTCCTCTGCTGATTGGAATGTCTGCGCGAGTGCCCTGTCGGGAGCCGCTCAGCCTTCGGGGGCGGCCAGGAGGGTGTCAATGACACGAGGGGGGTCAGATCTCGTGGCCGGGCTCATGACCACTCCCCGGATGTCCTGGCCCCCCCCCTCGCTCTCTCTCTCTCTCTCTCTCTTTCAACACATCCCCTGTCTCCCATTCCCCCCCGCGATTTGCGAGCCCCCCTTTCTGGACGCCCCCGAGTCTCTGGCGGATGGACAAATCAAGGAACGCTTGAGTCCTCGACATTTCAGGGGCAACGCTGGGGGTGTGGGTTGGCTCCAGGGGGGCTGCTTCGACCCCCAATCCCGACGCCGGCGCCGTCTGGGAATGCTCGAAGATAGCTAATTCCTAATTCCCACACGGAGGGTGGGCTCCAGAGGGAGGCCCAAGGGCGGGGCCTTTCACCGGCGTTATCGCGAATAATACGCATGTGCTTCATCTGGTTCTCTGTTTTTTTGGGGGTTTCCGAGATGTTCTTAGTCCATTTCTGGCCGAAGCCGTGTTGGCTCGATGCATCTGCCTATGTCCCGAGGGCATCTCTTTTGTTTTTAGAACATTTGTTGGTTATGGGACGTGTCGTGGCAGGCCTACAGGGGTGCCGGGGCGGCCGGTCCCTGCTCGAATGAGGGGCTGCTCTGGGCTTAAGTCGGGTGTGTCTTTCTACAGGCGGAATATTCAAAACGAGTCAGGGGACAATGATTTGTTCTAGTATTTTGGATGCATTTTCTCTAAATTCCTTAAACAGAAAATGCACTATTTTCAACTGTTTCGTGCAAAAGTCGCCTGTAGGAGGACACGCCCGACCTAACTCTGGGCTCGGGAGCACAGTCATCCACCCGCTTGCTAAGGATGAGCGGCTTTGCCAGGTGACCCTTGCATCCTTCCCCTTCGACCCATCGTTGGCCGCTTGCGCTGGCCGCGCCCCGCTCGCAGAGTGTCGACATGGCCTTCCAAGCCCCTTGCGTCCTTACCGCGCGTCCTTAGTACACCTTGGGCGATGCTTAAGAAAACTCAAATTTTCGGCCAGAGTCTTGATTTTTCTTAACGTTTCAATGTGATTCCTAAGATTTCAATGGAAATGTTGGGTTTTTCTCCAAGTTCTGAGACTATGAGTTTCTTAACCCATGATTTCTAAAGCATTTCGCAGGGTGTATACGTACGGGTTGGCTGCAGACGGCCACGGCTGCCGCCCGCCGCCGGCGACCGTGCTCTGATATCGAGAAGCATCGACGACGGGCCACGGCGGAAGCTGCCGTGGGCGCCGAGGGTGAAGTCGGGCATGCCCCTCGGCAGGAGGGATACTCAAGAGCAGCAAGCGAGCAGTCAGGGGGCGACGTTTCCTGCTCTGGCGATTTGGAATCTCTGATTCTGTTCTTTCCGTTTTTAATCCATCAGAGCCCGCCTGCATAGGAGGACCTGCCCGACCTGAGCCGAGGGGCCCAGACCACCGGAGCCTCCGCCTGGGGGCCCGGGGGCCGCGGTGCGTTCCCCCAAGGGGGTCCTCCTCCTCCTCCTCCTCCTCCTGCTCCTCCTCCTCTTCCTCCTCCTCCTCCTCCTCCTCTTCCTCCTCCTCCTCTTCCTCCTCTTCCTCCTCCTCCTCCTCCTCCTCCTCCTCCTAACCCACCGCGGTGACGATCGCACGAGTCGGCGGCGAGCCCAGGGAGGAGCGTAGAGGGCTCGAGGTTTGAGTCAAAGGTCTTCGGGCGTTTTTTCGCCGGCTCTCGGCGACCTTCCAGCCTCAGGATGCTCTCCGGCAGCTGCGCCTCGCCGTGAGGGTTCCCGGGGGGGGGGGGGCCGCATCGCCCCCATAGCGGCCGTCGCAGGGCCCGAGAGACGACCCGAAAGCCACATTCGCCGGCTTCCATTTTCCACCACCACAGGGGAGGAGGAGGAGGAGGAGGAGGAGGAGGAGGAGGAGGAGGAGGAGGAGGAGGAGGAGGAGGCGAGCCCCGGGGGGGAAGGCAGAGTGGGGCGGGCCTTCTCAGAAGGCTCGGAGGGCCTCGGGCCGTCGGAGCCAGACCCCCTCGAGTCATGAAAAAATCACGACGGGAGGTTTTTCCATATTTTTCGCCTCTGGGGGCCCTTACCGGCCTTCGGAACCGTCAAAAAACGACTCAGGGTGAAAAACCGGTCCCGGCGAATAGGTCCGGACCTTTGGGGGTCGCGTCAGGTAAAATCATGACGTCGGGGGTCTGGGGAGCAGGTTGCTGAGAGCCTTCGCCGAAAAACGGGGGCGCCCTCCAAGAAGGCTGGAGGGCTCCCGAGAGACCCCGTCGCTTTCGCAGAACGCCTGCTGCCCCTCGCTTCCCCTCCGGGCTCGCCGCCGAACGAATGGAAGAGATGCTGGCCACGTCTCGGGTCTCGTGAGCCGAAGAAGGACAACACACGGCATAAGCATAAACCCCCTGAGGCGCGCGCGGATGTTTGGAATCGGCGCTGGACTCTCCCGGCGCGCCTCCTGTGCCGCCTCCGGCGCGCTCCGCGCGCCAGGGAGGGGTGGCCCAGCGCCGATCCAAGGCATCCGCGCGCACCTCCAGCAATTTGTATGTATGCGTTGTGGCTTTCATCCAGTGAGGTAATCTCGCGGGAATCTGCAGCCTCATGCGAGATTCGGTCTCCAGAGCACGCTTCAGACTCCAGGAGCATCCACCAGGTCGTGTCGTGGCGCTTGGGCGTTCCATTTGTGGCCCATTACACACGGCAGAAGAGCTGTTTGGGCCTACGCTTCGCTGCAAGCCAGAGCACATCCATACCCACCGCTTCGGAGTAGCGGATTGGCGGATTCTGACACTTAGGGTTCACCGATGGCGGGAATGTGTCCATCTTCACCACCTCGCAGGGATCCCGGAGCAGATCTCCAGAGGTCGTGGGTACAGATGTGTCCTGGCGATGCGCATCCGTCGTCGCACCATCTTCCGCACACACCGCATTTTCAATTTGTTTCCGCTCAGCGCCATGAGGGAAGGGGGTCCTGAGGGAAGGGGCCATGGAGCACGGGACTTCCCCGGGAGCCTGCTCGAGGAAACGCGTGCCTCGCTACGCGGTCGGGGACTTCGGGGTAGCGTATCGTTCCGACGGTTCTTGCCCACCACGTTTCGGCCCGAAACGCTATCCACTAAGCGGCCCCCAAGCGTCAACATCCCGAGCTCTCCCGAAGCGCCCACCCAGCGGAGCGGAGCGACGCGCTATCCGCTCGCAGGGCACGGCGTGTCGCCGGGGCCGCTGCCGCGACGCTCTAAGCGAAAGAGTTCCCGACCCCATGAGGCCTACTCAGGGAAGCCCCCAAGCCCCCTGGCCCTTTTCTTTCTGTTTTGGCGGCGCGCAGCACACGAATCAGATGTTTGATCATGGAGTGTCGGGTGGGCCGCCGATCCAGGCTAGGTGACGCCGCGCTGCCAAGTTTCGGGATCGTGCGCCGCCCGAGGCGAGGCGCCTTGCCAGAACAATTCAGAGTGAGGGGACCGAACGGTCATCCATTGTCTTTGGGTGCGTGGCTGAATATGGAATTCTAGACGCTTCAGCAAGCGAGCGCGGGTGGCCTCCCAGCGCGGGAGGACCGAGCCGTCGCCTGGACCAACCGCAGTTGGAACGCCACCTGGATGTGCCGCCAATGCCTCGTTCACGCATGGGACGCCAAGCCCAGTGCAGTCAACAGGCTGCTCGACCAGGACTCACATCTCGTCTACCCCCGCCTCCCCACCTCCAAGCCACGTTCCGCCCCGCCAGTCTCCGACGAGCACTCAGTATCCAGAAAACTCGTACCCAACCGCGCCTCAGCTACCAAGGCTGTCCCGCACAACAGGAGTGAAGATGCCCCCGGCCTGGCCGCCCCTGAACAGTACTGTCGCCCCCCCACAACGCGCGGGGACGAGGTGCTCAGTCTCCTACCCGAGGTGGATCCCTCCAAAGGGCCAGCCTTGAAAAACATCAACATCGATCACTTGGAGGCTGCCGAGGAGGAGGGGTGGGACTGCCTGGACACCAGGCCCATCGACGTCAGGATGGTCGAGTTCTTACACCACTTGCACCCGCTTCCGGACGACCAATGGAGAAATTCTATTGCGGAGAAGGGCAGGGACGTGGTAGGCTCCGAAGCCCCCGAAAGCTGGGACCCACCCTGGCTGCGCCCCTTCCTGAAAAAGGTCTACGGCAATTTGGTGGCGCCTACCTACCTCCCCATCGACTTCCACTTGCAGGGCAAGCGGCTTGCCGCCGCCCGCGTGGTTGCGGAGTTTTGTGTTCGCTCTACGGACCCCTCCATACTGCTCAACTGGCTCGAACACTCAAACCAACGGCCCCTGCGTGCTCCTTCCCTTCTCCGACACACCCTGGACACCTTTGTAGGCTTCCTGACGCAGGTCAGCTCAGACAAGCTCACCTCCAGGTCACTTCAAGAGCTTGCCAGGGACGCTCCCATGCAAGTCACGCAGGAACTGTGCAGGCAGGTCGGCACCACCCCCATCAGGAGGCATAGCAACAGCGACGGGTTGGCAAGCCTTGGTGTGCGGCACCCTGATGCATCTGATCCCCCGGCGGCGTTCCACCCCTTTGCCCCCCGCTCTCCTGAAGTCCCTGACTGGGGCAACGGTGTGGCACACTCCCCTGCGTCGTCTGTGCGCAGCGGCACCAGCCCACCCTGCAACCGCCGAGCAATCTCGCGCTCCCCTGACGACGCCCGCGCGCGGCTCGCCAGCCCCGCCCCCGTCGCCCCCCCCCCCGCCAAACAGCCAACCCAGGCGGCCCTCCTCCAGTCACGAGGGACGGCGGTACTGCCGGCCGCGGGGACGAGGGGTCGGAGGCCTCTGCAGGTGGCCCCTGAGACGGCCTACCCTCCACGCAGCGGGGACATCAAGGGGCACCAGTCGCTTTGTCTCCGACCTCGAGCTCCGAGCCACTGGCGGTGGTTCACTCCTCGGGCAGCCCTGAGAACGCTGACCAGCCCTGCAGCCCCGCATCCCCCGCCACCGACCTTCGCGCCCCCTCCGTACCCGCCGGGCGGGATGACAGGAATCTCACGCGCCTGCCTGAGCGAGGTGCCCCGCGTTCCCCTAGCATACCAAGGGCACCCCGCGCCGCCAGTGCGCGGCTGGAACGAAGGATGGCGCGAACGCCGCCCGCGCCGCCACCGCGAGACCAGTCGCAGCAACCCCTACGGTAGCCATTGGGCCGACTGGACAGGGTGGTCCAGCTGGGGGTCGGACGACCGCTGGAGCCGGCCCACGCGGACTCACGCAACCACGCACGACGATCTCCCCACTCCCCGGTCTGGCCCCTGGCCCTCATACAGCAGTGCCCAAGCCGACTACTCACCAGACCAGCACGACCACAGGAGTGCCCAGGCCGAGCGCTCACAAGACCTGCACGACCCAGAGACAGGGCAATATATTTACAACGCCCCCCTGGAGCGAGTCGTCGTCCTGAACCCCACCGGAGAGGCTCCCGCTGCGACCATGAACGGCTCCAGAGGGGATTGGGCGATTATTTCACTGGCGCATGGCACCACTAGACAGCCGCGCATCCCCCGCCTACGGGCCGCCCCTGCGCCGACCCTACGCGCCAGCAGCCCGAGTCCTGCACGCGCTTCCTCAACGAATGGCTCAGTCACAAGTGCAACGTCTTCAAGACGGACGCTGCGCTCCAACTCGGGGTCAACTGGGGGACTGTCCGCGCTCGCATCTGCGACGTAGAAACACGGGCACCCCCGGTAAAGCCAAAGACAAAGGGCCGCGCGTAGACAGCGACGCCCGGTGGACCATGACTGCGGACCCTAGGAGGGCAACGGGCTCGCGCCAGCCCTGGACGCACTCCTAGGTCTTGCCGAGATCGCTCGGGTGCTCTCACACAACTGCACTCGTGGGCGCCGCGCCGTTGCCTCTGGGTGCCCCCCAGGGCCCCGCCCCTCCTGGCCGTGGGGCTGGCCGGCCTTTCTGCGCGCCTCCAGGTGCGCGCTCCCTGCGGCGGCCCCCTTTGCAGCCCCGCGCTGCCCCGCGCAACGGTCTCATCGGACTACTTCCTTGCGGCTGTTTGCCGCCCCCCCTTTTCAATGTGGCTGACTTTACCGACTTCGCTTGGGGCGCTACCTCGCACCTGATCATGCCCGCGCGGCTGTTAGCCGCTCCCCTCTCAGCGTGCAAGACTGTCTCGACGACGTGCTGTCGCTCCTTCCCGGGGCGTCGATGCGAGATTACTGACTCGCGGATGTTAGCCGCCCCCCCTCACAGCGCGAATTCTCCTCGACGACGTGCTGGCGCTCTCCTGCGGGCGTCGAGGCGAACTGGCTCTGCATCCAGTTCGGCGTTGCTGGCCCCGGCCGTTCGCAGAGGCCCCGCCCCACTTGTGCACCCCTTCTCTGTGGCTGGTAGCTGCGACCCATTCGCTCATCGCAGGTATCCGCGGCTGTCAGCCGCCCCCCCTCTACAGGTGCCCAGGCCCTCTGCGCCCCCCCCCCGGGGCGCGCAGGGCTGCGGGCCCCGCGAGAACATCGCAAGTTCCCGCGGTTGTTAGCCGCCCCCCCACGGCAGGACGCCTCAGGGGCGTCAAGCGCACCAGGCACCCCTGGGGCCCGAGCGTGCCAGGCACGCCTGGTGCGCCAGATGCTGCGCCACGTGCTCCGAGTGCGCCAGGTGTGCCGCACGCTCCAGGCGCGCCGGGTGGGCCTCGTGCAGGGCACGTGCAGAATGCGTCAGGTGCGCCTGCGCTCGTGACAGCACACATCGGGAAACATGTCGGTCCCCACCATCCTTGTCGAGCGCCAATGCCCATCATTGTGTCTGGTCGGCGTGCGCACAGCAGGCCACGCGCCACCACCCCCGTCGTCCCTGTCAAAAACCACTTGGCAGTGATCGCGGGGTGGCCACGCATGACCCAAATTTAGCCGCGAGCTGCATTTTGTATCGTCTTTGTGTCATGAATGCCAGCCCTGCGCACATCAGAGAATAAGCTGACATCCCCGCCGTCCCTGTCAGAAACAATACGAAGTGCTCGTGGGCCTCACGACTATGATTCAAAACTTTGCCCCAGAGTGTATTTCGTATTGCTTTCGAAAGGGATGCGGGGGGGGGGGGGGGCATCGATTTGGCCGCGCATGCTCCACATGTGGAGGCGTAGTGCGTTGTGTATTGCTTTTTGACAGGGATGGGGGGGGGTGGGCCGGGCGAAGGAGGGGCCCCCCTCCCGAAAGGGGGGCGCCCCCGGCTCTCCCGGAGGCCGCGACGTGCCCTCTGGAGGCGCCCCGTCGGGAGCCTGGCAGGGATCCTTCCGGGAGGACTCGCCCTGCCCCCGACAAGAAACAGCGCCCCCTTGGGTGCCTCGCTCGGCGGCGAGCGAGGGGGGGGGGAAGTTTCGGGGTCGAGCTTCGAGGGTTTCGGACGTGATCGTCGGTTCTCGTCGGCCTTCCAGGCTCGGGATGCTTGCTTGCAGCTGCGCCTCAGCGAGGGCGTTCCGGGGTTTCCCGGATCGCCCCGAACGCCCGCCAGAGACCCGAGTTCTGACCCCAAAACCACATTCGGCGGCGAGCGAGGGGGGGAAATGAGAGGGAGAAGGCCTTCGCAGAAGGCGGCGGGGCTTGTCAGGAGGCCTCCGGCCTTCTAAGAGAGGTTGTGTGATTTTCTGAGTTTTAGTGGAAGGCCTCGAACACTTCTCAGAAGGCCAGGGGGCTTCCGAGCCTTCTAAGAAGGTCCGCCCCCTCTCACTTCCCCCCAGGCGCGCTGCTGGGCTTCTAGAAGGCAAATGATGCATTCAAGAAGGTGCCTCACCTGCGAGGATCGAAGGCGCTGATATGTTTTCCTCGGCGGAAGGCTGGGGGAAGGCGGCGGAAGTAAAACGAGGCTAGGCCGCCTCCGCTGGCGGAAGCTCGGCAGAAGCTGGCGGAAGTAGAAATCGGCCTCCCAAGAGATGGCAAGGTTTTTATGTGACCCCCCAAATATATGGGGCCATGCCGAAAACCGTTTTCACTTTCCAGCCACGAGCGCCTATAGACACACTGGGTGGCGCCACGAAATAAGAACACGTTCGGGTTGGATACGTCTACAGACAACGCGGCCGTTGCGTTCGACACAGTACAATGTCAAAGGAAGGGTAGATATGTCTATGGTTATGTTCCTGTTCCAGAGCAGGCCCCACATGGTGCTCCGAACGAGGGCGCGCGCCGCCAAAACACGACGCCTCCCTGAGGCCCGACGTCGCGAAAACAAATGGCAACATCGTAAACAAAGCTCGGCCAGAGCCCTCAGATCCAATCTTTCCGCGGCATATTCGACGAGCCGCATCGATCCGGGAGGGCCCCGGGGCCGGAACCTGTATGTCAAGGTCGCCCGCTGTGGCAAGATTGCGACGCCAGGATCTCACGGACGTTTCCCCTCATGCTTCTCCTGCCCAGGTCATTGGATACGGGATTCTTTCGGTCGCGATGAGCAGCGACCAATCGGCATTCCAAGTCGATCGCGACCGATTTTGAAGAACCTCGAACGCGTCCGAAACTGGAATTTGAAGTTTGAAGCACTATCGGTAACGACAGCTCACGCGTTGCGACCAGAAACCTTTGGTATCCAATGATCAGGGCTGCTCGGTAGCAAATCATGAGTGTCTTGTCTGCCATCGAGAGTCAGTCTTTTGAGCGCACTAGCATCGATCAGTGTCCGGTAATCGATGAGGCAGCGCCGACTTCGCGTCGATTTAGCGTCGAGGATCGTCGCTTTAGCGTCGAGTTAGCGTCGACTTCGCGTCGATTCCCAAGAGCCAACAAGACGGTATGGGAGGCTCCCGTGAGTTGCCACCGAACGGTCGCAGGCTTTGTTCTCACCTCGGGGCTGGGAGGGCACGTGGTCGTGCACGGCCCCCCTCCGGCCCCCCAGGAGGCCCCCCCCCTCGCGGGGCAGGGGCCCAGGCGGCCGCAGGCCTGAGAGTGGCCGCTCCCAAATGGGAGCAGGCACGGGCAGGTCTGCCCCCGCCCCCTCCTTCCTCCTCCGCCTCCTCCTCGTCCTTCTCTTGTTCCTCCTGCTCCGCCTCCTCCTCCTCCTCCTCCTCCTGCTCCGCCTCCTCCTGCTCCGCCTCCTCCGTCTCCTCTCGCTTCTCCTTCCTCCTTTTCCTCCCCCCTCCTTCCCTCCCCTTCTCCTTTTCCACCCCTCCAACCCTCTTCCTCCTCCTTCTCGTCATCCTCCTCCTCCTCGTCCTCCTCCTCCTCCTCCTCCTCCCTCCTCCGCCTCCTCCTCCTCCTCGTCCTCCTCCTCCTCCTCCTCCTCCTCCTCCTCCTCCTCCTCCTCCTCCTCCTCCTCCTCCTCCTCCTCCTCCTCCTCCTCCTCCTCCTCCTCCTCCTCCTCCTCCTCCTCCTCCTCCCCCTCCCTCCACTGAGCTCTAGCGCCCGGCGGTGCGCGGCCACCTTTGTTACAGCGCAGCCAGGGGTCGCGCAGCAAAGGCGGGGAGCACCCGGCTCAGACAGTAGCGCTGCAAGCCTTCGACCTGCGGCTCCTTGCGCGAACAGCGGCACGTTGTTTCGCAACGCCGACTCTGGGAAGGCTGGGTTGCCCAGAGTGGGAGGAAGAAATGAAGAGGAGAAGCAGGCAGGCGACCGCGAACGCGCAGGCGGGAGGCCAGGGACGGCGGGACGAGGCTGGCGGGCGGGCGGGCGAAAGGGAGACAGACAGGAACCAGCAGGAGGGGAGCAGAAGGAAAGCCATGAAGAGGAGGAGGAGGAGGAGGAGGAGGAGGAGGAGGAGGAGGAGGAGGCGGAGCAGGAGGAGGAGGAGGGAGGAGGAGGAGGAGGAGGAGGAGGAGGAGGAGGAGGAGGAGACGGAGGAGGAGGAGGAGGAGGAGGAGGAAGAGGAGGAAGGAGGAGGAGGAGGAGGAGGAGGAGGAGGAGCAGGAGGAAGGCGAGGAGGAGGGGAAGGGGAAGAGGAGGCGGATGACGAGGAGAGGGGGAAGGGAAGCAGCCGCAAGCAGACAGGCAAGGCCAGGGGCCGGGAGAGATCAGCCACCCGCGACGAGGCCACGGACCCTGCGGCGGCGACCTGGGCGGGGCGGCCAATCGAGCCCAGCATGCTGCGGCTTGGTGGGGGAAGCCTTCTGCGGGGTCACCCACCTCCCCGCCGAGGAAAGGCCAGACGGCGCGCGCGAGGGGTCGCAAGCGCGACGTTGGCGAAAGGGCGCGGGGAGGCGTCCGTGTTGCCCAGCAACGGTGGGGGAAAGGGGGGCCCGAGGCAGCGCCGGGGGCACCTCGCACGGCGCGCCGTGGAGACAGCCGTGGCCACCGCGGCCAGGCGGGCCGCTGCCAACCCCCGCCCCTGAGACTGCGTCCAGGTCGCCGCAACACCGCTCACGCGTTGTCCTTGCGCAGGGGGGCGGAAAATCGACAGGCGTGCTGGTCCGCCGCAGTCAGTGCGGCGTTTTTCCCCGTGGCGTCATCAACTCGCCTGGCCAGGACCCGGAAGGACCTGCGTGCCTCGCGGCCCCGCCCGCCGTCGTGGGTTTCCATCACCATGTGGGTGAACGTGAAGCCGACTGCCGCACACGGCCTCGCGGTGTCCTGGTGCTCCCCGTCGATATCCCCGTGCCGCCCAGTCGTCGCGCTCCACGAAGCGGCCAACTCGGCGAGGAGATCGGCGCGCAATGCGGACGCGGCGGCACAGTCCCCGGCGGCCGCCGTGCCATTGCGCAACTGTGGCAGGTAGACGTCGGCAGGGTGGCGGCCGTTGTCGTCCACCAGGGGCCCGCCCTGCTCGCCCGTGGGGCTGGCCTCCCCTGCGGGGCGCGTGGGTAACAACCCCGGGCGCTCCAAATCCGCCCTGGCGTGGCCGGCGGCCAGGGCGTCGAAGAAGGCCTGGTTGCGCAGGGTGTTGTGGCGTTGGGTATGGTCGCCGCGGCAGGCGCAGACCAGGGCATGGTCGCAGAAAACTTCAACAGTTTCGCCACAGGCTGGAGAAAATCATTCCTCCTGCAGGAGCTGGACTCGCAGCCGCCTCTACAGGCCGACCTGCATGACGCCGTGCGGGAATGCTGCGCTGGTGGCCTCGCAGAGCGGCGCCTGGAACAACCCAGCAGCGCCCAGGGCCTGCACCAGGGAGAGGTGCGCCCTGCCGGCCAGGGTGGCGCCCGCCAGAGGCCCGTCGAGCGGCGCGCTGTCCACCGCGTCGGAGAGGACCTTCCGGTTGCCGTGCTACGCGTGGTCGAACACAGCGCGGTCGGCGTCCCGCCCAATTGCTTCGCGGGCCTGCACCGCAGCCGCTCCCCCCGTCGCTGCCATCGCTGTTAGTAGCCAGGGTAGAGCTGCCGACAGAGGTCGGTGCTCTTCGCTTTGGAGGCGATGCAGCGTGCTTCGCGGCACAGCGCAGGCCAGGCCCTCCCTCGTCGAGCTTGAGCTAAGCCTGCTGCCAGGGCGCGTCGGCGGGCGAGCAGACGCTCAGTTGCTCAAGGCACGCCAGGACAGCGTCGCTCATGGCCAACATGGAGGCGGTGCGCGCGGCGGGCGGCGCCACGCGCGCGAAGTAGCCCAGCTCGCAGAAGGAGGCGCGCTGGCGCAGGAGGTGCAGAGCGACTTGCGCGTTTTCGAGCTCCCCCAGAGCTTCCAGCAGCGTGGCGGCGCTGGCGCCCCGCTGCTTAATGTGCCCCGCGCAGAAGTCCGCGTCTGCCGCTAGCGCGCCGAGAACTCGAAGCTGCGATCGGTGCGGAGGCGGAAGCCCAGCGGGAAGCCGTCCAGAGACAAGTCGGATGCGTCTCCGCCAGTGGGGGTCACCTCGCAATTTCTGGGCCCGGTGCTCAGCTGGAGGCCCACCGCGGCGAGGTTGGCCATGAACAAGTGGAGGAGGCGCGCGACGGCCTTCGCGTCACCCACGAGGCAGCCGTCGTCCGAGTAGAGGAAACTCAGATCGACGGCGCCGTCGGCCCGGTGGCGCGGCGCGCAGAGGGCGGCACCGGCGGCGCGCTGTAGAGCCAGGGAGAACAGCCGTGGCCCCACGTGGCCACCCTGCAGCACCCGGCTCTCGGAGTGGACTGTCTGCTGGCACGGGAAAACAGTAGATGGGTGGTAGCATCACCAGTCGGCCCAAGGTGCCAGCTCGGGGCAACCTTCGTGGACCGCGCGGAGCAGAGCCTTCCTGTCCAGGGCGTTGATGGCGCTGAACACGTGCAGTTTCGCAAACATCTCCTGGTCCCCGTGGTGGCAGGTCCACCACGGGCACCGGGGCGCGACGCGCACCTTTCCTTCAGCGCCGCCAGGATGCCGATCTGGAGGAGAGCCTGTCGGTCGCGCGCAGCGCCGGCTACTTCGTGGCAGGGGCATTTGCCGACAAGGCGCCAAAGCACCTTCCCCGACGGCAACCGGTCGCAGGCCTCCGTCCTCTTTCTTCGGCACGGCCACCACAGAGGCGCCGTCGCAGCACTCGGACACGGCCGGTGGGGCCTGCCCCCCAACGAAGTTCCAGAGTCTGTCGGTGACCTCGTCTCTGTGGGCCGCGTCAAGCAGTGCGCCTTTTAGGTGATGGTGTCGGAGGCCTGTGAACCAAGGCCCGGGGAAAGGCCCGTTTTTCCGTCTGGACCGCGTCCCCGTGCACAGGGCGGCAGCCGCGTGTACAGCCGGGAGGCTGCCGGGGGTCCACAGTTTAGCGGTTGCGCCGGAGTTTTTCCTGCGTTTCTTCGATGACGCCGGGGGTGACCTCCACGGGCGGCTCGCTGGTCAGAGCCGGGCAATTTTTGGAGTGTTGGGCGTCCGCAGAGAGTTTTGCACGCATCTCTCTGTTCGTTGGGAGGCTTGCAAGGCGGGATTGGCAGCGCGAGCCTCGACGATTTCGGTCGCGCTTTTAGCGGGGCGCATTGTAGGGCGGCGCTCTCACACACCCGGCCGTTCATCCCCCCGCCTCTCCGCACCCTCTTCCCGATCCTATTTCGCACCCTCTTCCCACCCATCCTTCTATAATAGATCTTCCCTTGGTTCCACGTGCTCCTCCTCCTGCTTCTCCTCCGCCCCTTCCTCCTCCTCCTCCTCCTCCTTTTCCTCCTGCTTCTCCTCTTCGGCCTCCTCCTCCTCCTCCTCCTCCTCCCTCCCTTCCTCCCTCCCACCCACCCACCCACACACCCACCCTCCCCTCCCTTCCCTACCATCCCTCCCGCCCCACCCCCTCGCCGTTCCCCATGCTCTTTATCACCCCATTCGTCGTTGTCCCCCACCACCATCCTTCCTTTCCTCGCGCCCCTTTTTTACACTTCCCTGGGGAGTTTCGCGAATTATTCCGCAATTTCACGATATGAACCTCGGCAGGCGCAGGAAACGAACGCAGAAGAGGAGCCATCGTCAGCTATCTGACGTGCCGCAACAAGATCCCCGGTCGCAGGCGACGGTTGAACTCCTTCACTTTTACACGCTCGGTAGGACTGAGGTCGGTCTGCCCCCACGGAGCAGCGTAGTCACCCCGAGGTTGGAAGGGTTTCTCCCCCGAGCCGTGGGGACCATCTTCCTCCGCATTGGCCGCGACGGGAGACCAAACGGGAAGGGGGCGGGCGTTAAATGGTGTTGGTCGTCGCCATGGGGTGCAGAAGGTACGAGGTCCGCGCTCGTCCTTATGGGCGTACCGCCTGGTTTGCTTGCCTTCTAGCAGATCGCTCTTGACAGGGGCAGCGCGGACAGCTGTCCGAGAGGCTACGGACCGTCTGACAGAGAGTGGGTTTACAGAACGCAACGCGACGCCCAGAGGCACAAGAAAATGGGACGTTCGTATCTGTCCAAACCTCCGCGGGCGAACTGGATTGGATTGGACTGAGCTGAACTCTTCCTCCTCATCCTCCATCCCATCTCGTTCTAGCTAGCTCCTCACAGATAGACCGGTCGATACGGCGGGCCGGGCGTTTCGCCTGAGATTTTTTCACTACTGAAGATTTCAAAAACGTAAAATTTGCAGTATCTTCGCAAGTATCGGCGGCCCGTTTTCAGAATGTGGCTCTCGCCCTGGCGCCGTGCACATTCGTTCAAACAACTTGCAAAAACTCCACGG